TGATATATGATGAAACTAGGGAGCATCTGATGTTGAACTGCCCATATAGTCAAGGAGTGTGTAGATTAGGCTTTAAAAGGCTTAATGTTCCTTATATGGGGTTTGGAACTTGGTCGGTTTTCCTAAGATGGCTGAAGAGACCATATCCTATAGTGGCTGAAAACAATCTTAGGCTTCTTATGGCTCACGCAATCATATACTTGTTGTGGAAGCAGAGGAACGACAGAATCTTCGGAAACAACTTTCTCCCAACAGAGGTTCTTTTCAAGAAGATTGATAGAGGGGTCTGAGACACTTGCATAATTCGAAAGGACAAAACAAGTTTCAAATAGTGCCTAGGTTTGTGGTTCCGAGGTACCTAACCTCAATTGTAAGCTACCTTATTTTCCTTTCTGCCTTCATGGTTTATGATTGAGAGCCCTATGCTTTGTGCAATTTTTCTTTCTCTTGTAAGTTACTATAGAAGCTAAATTCCGCACTAAGAATTTGTATGTGAATTCGGAGAAGAAATTTTAGTCCTAATAAATGTCTATAAATCTGACGAGAAAAAAAAAAAAGTAAAGCGGAGCTGGATTTATATTGATATGAATCGAATATACAATGAGATCTCGAATGAGACGTATTACAAGCTGAAATGTAGTGTTAAGCTCTTGTGTGTGTGAAAAATTGGCGAAATCTGCTCGGACTTCATGTATTTATAGCTCAAATCAGCTCTTCGATCCAGCTCCACGTATCTAGGGACGGTTCTACATATCTCGGGCACCTTCTTGGCATATTCTCCGCGAATCTCGGTCATGTGGTTGTGCTAACCTCCATATTGACTCGTTCTTAGCTCGTCAGCTCTACTTCCGTTGGCTCAGCGTTCGCAGGGCTGACTCGGGCTTATCCATTAAATATATCTTTCCTTAAAGACTGGGCCGCATGTCCATCATTTTTGTCTTTAACAAACTGTTTTTACTCCGGCTTTTAGTGGGCCGGATTGGATGACGAATCCAGTTCCAACAATTACGTATGAAACAAATTATTATTAAAAAAAAAAAATTTTTTAAAAAATGCAAATAAATGTGAAAACATAAATAGAGTAATTATTATACCATCATGATAAAGGATGTACGTTTTTAAATAAGCCTTTAGTAAATTATAAAACAAAAAAAAACAAAAACATACGCGTAATGAAAAAGAAGTTGAAGGAACACGGAGTTAGTTAAGGAGCAGTTGTGTTAGTAAATAAAGGGACCCCACAAGTTGTGGCCTTCTCCGGCTCGGTCCAAACATAGCCGACCCACCTCTTTCGGTGCGAAGCAACTCAGAATGTGTGTTATGTAACACGTGGCTAACCATATATTTCCCAAATTCATTTAGAAACAA